GCCCATCGACTCCATGGTCCTCGCCACCGACCAGTGCTACGACATGGTTCGTGATCCAGACCAGTCGCTGTTGTTTACGTAGACATGAAGGAAATGGTACTTTTTTATTTTGACTTGAGAAGAAATTAGAGATGTTATTTTTTCTGATCTTATTTTGAGAAGAGGGAATTCGTATTACGTTTTGACTTTGAGAAGATGTTAATGATACAGCTTTTCTTATCATACACCGAGAGGATGAAATCGTATTCTTAAACAGTCTAATTTGAGAAAAAGATGAAGATATCGTATTTATTATCTTAATTCAAGAAATTAATATTACTCGTATCATGAAACCCCCACATAAATCGGGCATTTGAATTTTATAATCTTGATTTTTATATATTAGTATCACGAATACCATGCCCCCCCCTCTCAGGTCGGGCAAAAAGCAACGGGTATTCTCGGTGTGTTCATGACGGCGCTGTCTCGATCCTCGACTCACATCTGGTTCGAGCGAGGCAGTACGAAGGAGCGAGCGGAGGCGGCGGGAAGGTGAGCCCAGGCATTGGAGTCCTTCGTGGAAATAGAGGGAGTGGAGTGAATTGATTTAGCGTTTCATTCGATTTTATTTACATTTTATGTGATTGGTTGATTTCCCTTTTTAGTTGTGTGTATGAGTGGTTTTGTAGAATGAGGTAGGTAGTGATGAAATCTTGAGGTTGACTGTTTTTTAATTTTTAACTAGGACATTTAACTAGTATTACTTTTGCCATGTCTTCTAAGCTTCGTCTTATCCCCCCCTTTAGCTCTTTAGTCAGTTTTACATACATTGATAATTGACGCGGAGTTTGGTCTCGTAAAGCGGATTTTAAGTGGTTGTAAAGAGGAGTTTTCTGTCTCTTTGATCCAGCCTGCCTTACCTCCTCCCTCTCTCCTGCAGGTTACAGGCCCACGCTTCCAACCACAACCTTCCTCCTATCCTGATCTACCCCGAAGGCACCTGCGTCAACAACACGGCTGTGATGCAGTTCAAGAAGGGGGCCTTTGAGGTGAGTTTTTTTGTGTGCCAGTTGTTTTTATTTGTTGTCTTTGTTACGAGGTGAGGTATTGTTTCGTTTTTTTGTTGTTGTTTTTGTATTTTGTTACGACGGAAGCGGGCCTTTCTGTGTTTCTTGTTTTGTTTTTATTTGTTGGGATAGGAGGCCTTTTAGGGAATGGTTTTGTTTGTTTGTTTTCTTGTTATGTTTGTTGTGATAGAAGGGGCGGGGCTTAGAGGTCGGTGTCTTAATGCCAGTTCATTTTATTTGTTGATTTTTAAGACTTCATTCGTTTTTCATTAAGCCTTGTGACAAAGTGGCGCCTATTTATTTTTATTATTTTATATTTTATTAGTTATTATTTGTTGCATTTTGTTTGTTTTCAGCTGTTTTGTTTATTTTGATATTGTTTCTTTTAATCTTTTTCATCATGTGTTTCATGTTTATGTCTTTCATGTTTATCTATTTTCATTTATTTGTTTTTATTTTCATTATTTTCCGTAGAGGGATTTGAGGTGAATCTTAAGGCTAGTTCTTGTCGTCTTTAATTTGATTCCTTTATTTGTTTATATCTTTTCTTATCGCTTTAAGGCCTGTTCTTGTCGTTTTAATTTTGTTTATTTTTCGCTTATTTGTTTTGTTGCATCTTGTATTTATGGTAATAGAAGTGCTTGTTCCCGCTCATCTTTGCCTTTTATTACAATAGAAAGGTTTTGTGAAATAATTTGAGTTGTTACGGGTTTTGCAGTACAGTGTAGTTCAGGCAACAGGCAAGTTGTTAGAATTATGTTATTGTTATCATTGTTGTTATGTTATTATTATTACCATCAATATCACCTTTATTATTACTACTACTGCTACTACTACTACTACTATTACAACCACTACTATTACTACTGTCATTAGTATCACCATCATCATTATTACCAATCATCACCAGTATGCTACATTGCCCTATCAGCATCATCATTATCATTATTAACTAACCTCCCCCCCAGATCGACAGCGTGATCTACCCGATCGCCATCCGCTTCATCATCATCACTATCACGATCATCATCATCATCATCATCTTTATTACTCCCCCCCCCCCCCCCAGATCGACAGCGTGATCTACCCGATCGCCATCCGCTTCGACCCCCGCTACGGCGACCCCTTCTGGTACCAAGACACCTTCGGCCACTACATCCTGAGCATGATGACGTCATGGGCCATCGTGTGCGACGTGTGGTACCTTCCGCCCACGCGCAGAGGCCCCAGGGAGTCGGGGGCGGCCTTCGCGAGCAGGTGGGTGCTTGTGTGTGCGTGTGTGTGTGTGTGTGTGTGTGTGTGTGTGTGTGTGTGTGTGTGTGTGTGTGTGTGTGTGTGTGTGTGTGTGTGTGTGTGTGTGTGCGGGTGTGCGTGTGTGTGCGTGTGTGCGTGTGCGTGTGCGTGTGTGTGTGTGTGTGTTTGTGTGTTTATTTTTTTCCATAATCTGATCTGTTAAATAATGTTATTCCCTTAGTGCAGTGATGAGTGGTATAACTATCTTTGTCATAATCACCATCGTCACCACCACCATCTTAGCCACAGTTATCACCTTCACCATCATTCACCTTACACCATCATCATACCAAACACTATCCCATAATCACCAACATCTTCACCACAATCACCACCTTACCACAGTCGCTACATTCATCATCAGAATCGCCACCATTTTCACCATATTGACCTTCACCACCACCACCACCACCACCTTCATCCACTTCACCATCACCATCACCACCATCTTCATCCACTTCACCATCACCATCACCACCATCTTCATCCACTTCACCATCACCATCACCACCATCTTCATCCACTTCACCATCACCATCACCACCATCTTCACCATCCACTTCATCACCATCACCACCATCTTCACCATCCACTTCACCATCACCACCACCACCATCTTCATCCACTTCACCATCACCATCACCATCTTCGTCCACTTCACCATCACCATCACCACCATCTTCACCATCACCATTTAAACACCATATTCACCATCACCACCATCTTCATCCACTTCACCATCACCACCATCTTCATCCACTTCACCATCACCACCATCTTCATCCACTTCACCATCACCATCACCATCTTCACCATCCACTTCACCATCACCACCATTTAAACACCATATTCACCATCACCACCATCTTCATCCACTTCACCATCACCATCATCTTCATCCACTTCACCATCACCATCACCACCATCTTCATCCAATTCACCATCACCACCATCTTCACCATCCACTTCACCATCACCATCACCACCATCTTCATCCACTTCACCATCACCACCATCTTCATCCACTTCATCACCACCATCTTCACCATCCACTTCACCATCACCATCACCACCATCTTCACCATCCACTTCACCATCACCACCATCTTCATCCACTTCACCATCACCACCATCTTCATCCACTTCACCATCACCACCATCTTCACCATCACCACCATTTAAACACCATATTCACCATCACCACCATCTTCATCCACTTCACCATCACCATCACCACCATCTTCATCCACTTCACCATCACCATCACCATCTTCACCATCCACGTCACCATCACCACCATTTAAACACCATATTCACCATCACCACCATCTTCATCCACTTCACCATCACCATCACCACCATCTTCATCCACTTCACCATCACCATCACCACCATCTTCACCATCACCACCATTTAAACACCATATTCACCATCACCACCATCTTCATCCACTTCACCATCACCACCATCTTCATCCACTTCACCATCACCATCACCACCATCTTCACCATCCACTTCACCATCACCACCATTTAAACACCATATTCACCATCACCACCATCTTCATCCACTTCACCATCACCATCACCACCATCTTCATCCACTTCACCATCACCATCACCACCATCTTCATCCACTTCACCATCACCACCATCTTCACCATCCACTTCACCATCACCATCACCACCATCTTCATCCACTTCACCATCACCATCACCACCATCTTCATCCACTTCACCATCACCACCATCTTCACCATCCACTTCACCATCCACTTCACCATCACCACCATCTTCATCCACTTCACCATCACCACCATCTTCATCCACTTCACCATCACCACCATCCACTTCACCATCACCATCACCATCTTCATCCACTTCACCATCACCATCACCACCATCTTCATCCACTTCACCATCACCATCACCACCATCTTCATCCACTTCACCATCACCACCATCTTCACCATCCACTTCACCATCACCACCATTTAAACACCATATTCACCATCACCACCATCTTCATCCACTTCACCATCACCATCACCACCATCTTCATCCACTTCACCATCACCATCACCACCATCTTCATCCACTTCACCATCACCATCACCACCATCTTCATCCACTTCACCATCACCATCATCTTCACCATCCACTTCACCATCACCACCATTTAAACACCATATTCACCATCACCACCATCTTCATCCACTTCACTATCACCATCTTCACCATCCACTTCACCATCACCACCACCTTCACCACCATTTTAAACACCATATTCACCACCACCACCATCCCCACCGCCATCACCACCACCATCCCCACCGCCACCACCACCATCCCCACCATCATCACCATTTTCAACACCATCTTCACCATCACCATCCTCACCATCTTCACCACCACCATCTTCACCACCACCACCACCACCATCATCCCTACCAACACCACCACCACCATCCCCACCATCCCTACCACCACCTCCACCACCACCACCACCATCATCTTCACCACCACCACCATCACCATTAACTCTCCCTCCCCCCTGCAGAGTGAAGGGCTTAATCGCACACAAAGGAGGCTTCGTGAAACTGGCTTGGGACGGATTCGTGAAGCTTCAGACCACAAAGAACGAAGCTTGGGAGAAGAAACAGAATACGTGGAAACAGATGCAACAGAGAGAATACGCGAAACACCTGAGTAAAGATGAGGAGAAGGAGGAATGAGAGGGAATGATGAGGGAGGGTTTGGGAAAGGAGAGGAAGAGTGAATGAGGATTGGGAGGAGATATGGAAGAGGAGGAAGGAAGGAAGAAGAGAAGAGGAATAAAAGGAGATTGAGTAAAGGGGGGGGGGGTGAGAGATATGGGGAAAATATAGAGGGAGGAATGAAAGATTGAGGAAAAAAAAAGGAAGAGGAAAGAGTGAGAGATGAGAGGAAAATAGGAGGGTAGAATGAAGGATAATAAAATAGAAAGAGTTACGAATGAGGGAAAATGTGTAAGAATGAAGAATAAGAGAAAAAAAGAGGGATCAGGGGAGTGACTGAGAAAAATAAGAGAGAATAAGGGGTGTGAGAAAGAGATGAAAAAAGATGGACATAGGATTTTTAAAGAGAGGAACCTGTCATAGAAAATGGGTTTGTTTCCTGAGCTGTTAAAGAAAACGGGCCTGATTTTTTTTATCGCGCAAACTATGACATTTTTTATTACCTTTGCACGTTACCAATGACTTGTTTGCCTTTAGTGAAGCGATTACACATTAAATATCAAGTTAATAATTCACAAATGTTAAGGGACATTTGGCCTCACTATTAGGAAGGAGGAAAGAGACAGAAAAAAAGATGGACAAAGTGATGACATAACGAGCGAATGGAGTTTAAAAATCACAAAGGAAAGAACAAGGAAGAACAAAATGAAGACGTCGAAGAAGACAAAGAAAGGGATAAAGAAGAATAAATATGATAAGAAGTAATAGTGATAATATTCTTCCCTTTAAGCTTAAACCTCCGAGTAAATGTGTTCATGGATATTCTTGTTGTGTATAATTATTTTATAAAACAATACTTTTCTATGTATCTGTTGTTATATTTTAGGACAAAAAGATAAAAGGATAAAAAAGAGAAAATAAGGAAATAAAAAAAATAAGAAATAAAATAGAAAAGTAAGGAAAGTTTTTGAATTCCCTTGAAATTATATATGCTCGTGGTAGAAATAAATACAACATATGCTAATTTAATGTTGTTTTTTATATAAAGTGTGAAAAATTACAATAAATGAAAGAATGTACATAAATGTGATATGTGTAAGACATGAATAGGGTGACAGAGCAATAATATTACTGTAGAAGAATTTAAAACAATATAAGCATTTGAATGATAAATCCAATTCTGCATTTTAAACGTTAATTTTTTTCTTCAACCTGTCCGTCATTCTCATTTTCTCGCTCACTCTGTCTATCTGTTTTGCTCTATCCCTCTCTCTGTCTGTCTGTTTTTCTCTCTCCCTCTCTCTGTCTGTCTGCCTGTCTGTCTCTCTGTCTCTGTCTGTCTGTCTCTGTCTCTGTCTCTCTCTCTCTGTCTCTGTCTGTCTGTCTGTCTGTCTGTCTGTCTGTCTCTCTCTCTCTCTCTCCCTCCCTCCCACCCCCTTTTACTCATTCTTTCTCATCACGCGGACCAATGAATAAATACTGGTCGCTTTCAAACTGAATACAAAGGCAGTAATCGTTTATCATTGATCACTGAGAAGCGTGCATATAATAGCATTCAGAGTGGATAGTTGCCTCAAAAAAAAAAAAAAAATCTTCGAATGCAATCTTTACAAAGTTCTAGACTATCTTATAACTTGGCATTATACTCCTATATTTTGAGATTATCCGCTCAGTTTTTTAAACGTGATTCGTTAAAGCCTATAACCTGCATGTGGAAAATGTCTGAATGATCACTAATGCATTAAACACTATCATTATCAAACGCATGGAATAGTGAGGCGAGGATACACATACTTCAAATACTTTCCAATGTAGCTAGCAGATAAAAAGTGTAAAGTGTAATAATTCGGTAAATATAGCCTGCAAGGAATCTTTGTCTCGTGACACTCGATAGAAAGTATGTTATTTTCTTCTTTACTTCCCCCCGCCCCCTCTCTCTCCCTCTCTCCCTCTCCCTCTCCCTCTCCCTCTCTCTCTCTGTTTATGTGTGTGTGTGTGTGTGTGTGTATGCATATATAAATATGCATACATGTATATATATTTGTATATGTCTATATATGTCTATATATATATATATATATATATATATATATATATATATATATATATATGCATATATAGCTATACATATATGTATATATATGTATATGTATATATACGTATATATGTGTATATATATGTGTATATATGTGTATATATATGTATATATATGTAAAAACATGTATATATATTATATATATGGATTATATATATTATATGTATAGATCTTTGCATCATCCCCGTAAGATAATGGCATCTTAAAGGGGGATTTAGCCAAAATAATGCTAATATTAACGTAAATAATAATAATAATGATGATAATGATAACGATGACATAAAAGGTAAAACAAACGGAAAAAATACGTTACATAAATAACGTGACGCGAACAATTAACGGTCAAAATCTAATTAATAATAATGTCAGTAGTGATAATAATATCGGCAGTCGTAATAGTATTCATAATCAAAACAATAATGATGATAACAGTAATAGTAATAATAATAATGATGGTGATAACTAATACTTACACTACAACTGCTACTACTACTACTATCATTGTTACAACAAAACTAATACTACTATTGCTAATACTACCAATGCTATTAAACCTTCACGACGAAGTAAACATATATCTCTCTCTTAACAAAGGATCCACATAATTTTAACGAATAAGTAAAAAACTATTGCAAAAAATAACATCAGTGATTGAACAACAAACAAATAGACGAATAAAGAAAACAACAAATAATAACAATAATGATAATGATGATAATAATAACAACAATAATAATAACAATAATGATAATGATAATAATAGTAGTAGTAATAATAATAATAATAATAATAATAATAATAATAATAATAATCACGATAATAATATCAATAATAATAACAATAACAACAATAATAATAACAAAAAATGATTATAACAAGAAAAAAATCTCAGTTATCGAGGTCCCCCTGACACATAAAGAAGTCTTCCATGATGAGATCCGTCTCCACGAGCGCCGGACCGATCTTTTCCAAAACGAACTTATATCCGAGCATCTCTACTGTACTGAGCGCTGTGAGTTGTATGGTACTGGCCATGACGGTGTCCATGTAGTGTGTCCCATCGCCCCATGTAAGTCCATTTCGGGTATTCATGAGGTGGAGGAGAATGGGTGCTTCTGTTGGTTGTAGAAATTGGGTTGTTAAAATAAGGGGGGCTTTTTGGGGAGGATATGGGTAAATGAGGTTGTTAGGTGGGGGAGTTGTAGGGACTGGGTTGTTTAGTTGTTAAAGAAAGAGGCTTGTTAGGAAGGAAGTTGTTGATACATCAGTTTTTTTTTTTTTTTTTTTTTTTTTTTGGGGGGGGTGTTTGTGAAGAATGAAGTTGTAAGGAATAGCGTTGTTATGGGATGCAGTTATTAGGGAGAGTGTTAAAAAAGTGAGGTTGTTTGTGAGCTGGTAAATAATGAGGTTGTTATGGAGGGTGTTGATAAGTAATGAGGTTGTTAGGGAAATGTTGCTTTGAGAAACAGGGTTGTTTGGGTGAGAGTGTTAAGGGAATGAAGTTGTTGGCTTGTTAGGGAAGCGATGGATTAGCTTGGAGTAGAGATGGATTAAAGGGGGAGGGGGGAGGGGGGTCGCGGGAGGGAGAGGTTGAGAAAGGAGAAAGGAAAGATGGATAAAAGGGAAGGAAGCATAGGAGAAATGAGGTGTGTAGGAAATGAAGGATAAAAAGAATGGAAGAAAGGGGATAAACAAAAGGAGGGATAAAGAAAGCGAGCAACTCAATACGAATACCAACAAATATACCTAAAACTTCACTAAAGAGATAGAAAAAAAAAAGATGAAAGAAAAAACTTCCACCAGCACCTCTACCACAACAAACATTCCTCAAACATAAACCACCAAAAAGGAAAAAGAAAAGAAAAAAGAAAAAAAGAAGAAAAAAAGAAAAAGAGACAAAGAATAAGAATAAGAATAAAAATTTTAAAAAAAGGAACTCACTCATAGCCGTAGCAGCCCTGGACATGAGTTCATTTTCTCTCTGCTCCTTGACAATCATGAGTCGGTGCCCATGAACGCTCGAGCAGATGCGTTGGGCTTCCGTGAAGTTCCTCTTGTAGGCAGGAACCCAGTACATGCCCCGGGGTAGAACTTCCAGGTACGTGAGGTTCATAGGCTCTGTTAGAATAAAGAAATAGATGAATAGATGAAAGTGGATCCATAGATAAGTGGATGAGTGGTTAAATAAATAAATTGAAAAGTGGATGACATATTTGGATTGGGGAATATAGGTTATTGGCGATTGGCGATTTCGTTGACTGGTGATTGGATAGTGGGCAGTGAGAGTTAGAGAGAGAGAGAGAGGGAGAGAGACAGAAAGAAGGGAAGTGTGGGAGAAACCGAAAGACAGAAAGGAGAGATAGCTAGACAGATAGAGATAGATAAATAGGGAATGAGAGGGAGAGATAGAGGCAGACTGAAACAGAAAAAGAAACAGAGAGAGAGAGAGAGAGAGAGAGAGAGAGAGAGAGAGAGAGAGAGAGAGAGAGAGAGAGAGAGAGAGAGAGAGAGAGAGAGAGAGGGAGAAAGCGAGAGCGAGTGAGAATTACCAAAACCTACCCAACCAGAACATAGACGTAGCAGCCCCCTTGGCCTCCATCGTGGCATTCTCAGGACCGAACCCCGACAGGTCACAGGAGCTCCTCGACGCTCCCTCCTTCAGAGTGGCCGAGTGACATCTTGAGGAAGTCCAGCACATCGTTCGACATTCGCCTGGGATTGGGTGATGATAACGACAATGGTAAGGATGATAACGATAATGGCATTGGAGAGAGAGGTGAAAGACACACACACACACACCACACACACTACACAGTACACAAACACACACACACACACACTACAAACACACACACACACACACACACACTACACACACACACACTACACACACACACACTACACACACACACACACCACACACACACACACTACACACACACACACACTACACACACACACACACACACACACACACACACACACACACACACACACACAC